TCAGTTACTTTTCAATTTTATATGATCCGATAATTTATTAGATTGTTATATTTGAAGTTGAGGGGTAAATATTACAAATAATATTTTAAGGGGTAAGTGTTACACAAACTATACTTTTGAGGTGCAAAGTGTATTTAATAAAAAATAAAAATAAAAAAGAAAAAGAAAAAAGAATTAGTATTACCGTAAAACGTGTTTAGCAGCCTACATGCCGAATTTGTACAATAATAGTGGTGGCCGAGTTTCCCTTATTCATAACTCGTCATAACTCAGCCTTCTTCTCCACGTGTTGACGCTTCGTATAAACTACCTTCTCCACCGCTCCTCCTTCCACCGCCCTTGCTAACTTTTTGAATCGAGAATCTCCTTCCACCCCCTTCCACCCCCCCGTGATTGCAGTTGGAAGAAAGCTTTTTGATAAATCCGATCCCCCTTTTTTTATTTTATCCGATTGGGCGGTCGTCTGATATGGTGGCGGAGGGGGTGGGCCCTTCTGTGGAGGCGGCGGCCGTGGTGGCGCTCCGCCTTAAGGCCGCTACGAGTTGGTGGGACGTAGTCAACGAGTCGCCCGCCTGGCAGGATCGTATATTCCATGTCCTCGCCGCGCTTTATGGGATCGTCGCCGTTGTTGCCCTTGTAAATTTCTTTCTACAATTTTGTTTTTTTCTTTTCATGTTGCTGCTTATTGTTCCTCCTTTCGGCGATTGTGATTTGTGAATTTTGTGATGGTTGTGTTTGATATTTTCGAATTTATGCACCCGGTGTTTTTCCTGTTCATTTTTCCCGCTGCATTAGGGATTTGTAATGATTGGTATGGAGATAAATTGCAAAGTACTATTTTAATTAGGTTTGTTACGATTACCCGTCTTAAATTTTCCGACTTTTTTTAGAGTGAATAACTAGTTTCTAAACCTGTAAGATTAATTTTGTTTTAGAATATCTGTAATTGCATTTGAATTAGGGGTTTATACGCATTCCGTTGAGCTTCTTGCAGGTTTTGAATACCCTTTGATTTATGTGTTGAATTGTGAATGTTAACTGAAGAATATTGTGTTTGTTTTTTGCATGCATAGATGTGAAAAATCTTTCATAAA